CCAAAATGAGGTGAACTATGACGTGGTCGAAGCTCAGGGCACCAGTCTGCTCGCTCCCGACAATGACACGTACGACAATCGCATTTTCAGCTGTCTCGTTATCTGCCCTGCTGGCCGGGCGATCCACAGCTACGAGTCGCCATTGGAGCTGCTGGGAGCACTCCGCGACGCCATCACGGCGCACAGGTCCCTCTACCTGGAAGGCAAGGTCTTACACCGGGACATCTCCGAGAACAATATCATCATCACCGACCCCAAAAGGAATGACGGTTTCATGGGCATGTTGATTGACTCGGACCTTGCCAAGGAGCTTGGTAGTGGGCGTACCGGTGCGCGGTGTCGCACCGGGACGATGGAGTTCATGGCCATTGAGGTCCTGCTTGGGATCTCACACACCTATCGGCATGATCTCGAATCGTTCTTTTATGTTCTTATCTGGCAATGCGCCCGTCGTGGCTGGAAATTTCTGGGCAACTCCAAGGAGCAGCCGACACGAAGTCTGTTGACAAAATGGTACACCGGCAGCTATCGAGAGATTGCGAGTGCCAAACGGGGGCATATGCACGTTGATGGATTCGAAGATATCCTGGAAGAGTTGCCACAACCGAACTTCGACCCTGTCAAGCAACTTTGCAGGGAGTTGCGACAGATTTTGTTTCCTTACCGGGGCGGACTCTTTATTGGGACGCCGAAGGACCCGGAGATTCTCTATGGCCCAATCGTGAAAGCGTTCGACGAGGCCATTGTTGGTATGAGGACTCAGAAGAACAAGGTGCTCGAGTCCGAGATTGGATTTGTGCATGGTCCACTGTAGGAGATATGATATGAAATCCGACCTTGATTCCTGAGTGATCATGAACACAAGCGGAAGGAGATTTCAGGTGTCAGGTCAGATGTCTGGGTCACAACTTACCGCCTTCCTGAAAGATCGGGCTGCTGCTGAAAGATTTACTACCGACTACGGACCTGGCCGTATGCTGGGCAAAGTATAGGAGGGTGGAGTACGTCAGTCGAAGTGACTAGCGGCTGCTTTATGTACGAGACTACGGATGCTCAACAGGTCCATCATCTTACAGGTCAGTCACGGTTTGGTTTACCATTCTTAGTGGGCGCGGAGTCGGCTGTTCCACGGCTTCAAACGATTTACCGACTTCCCGGCAGTGATATGCTCCGTAGTTGCCATATATCAGGGCACTAGAATCTGAGTATTTGAGATTGCCGATACAATCAAAAGATAAGAGTGTAAAGCCCCAGTATCAACAGCGACAACGGTGTCGACAGTATACCTGAAAACAGTCCACCGGGCATCCTTGACATTTATTTTTTACACGAAGCGCATTCCCATTATACCGACGATGCTTAGCATGAAAGGAGGGGAAAGGGTCGCCGCGCCGGCAGTGAACTCAGCAGACAGTAGTGGCAGCAGAGGGACTCAGATCCAAAACGCCGCTGGAAGACGGTTTGATCGTCACCATGTTATCTCCATCGCCTGTTATGGACTAGTCAGAGGGACTGTTTCATATCTTCTGACGTTGCTGAGGGTTAGAGAGATCGGAAATGACCGTTGCGTCAGAGAGACCCGGATTCGAAAGGCCGCTGGAAGGAAGTGTGGTCATCACCACCTTCTTTTCATCGCTTTGTTGTACTCAGTCAAGGGACAGTGTAGTGTCTGACATTCCTGAAGGGCCGTGGAGAATGATGTCTTCCCAATCCGTCTTCAAAATCCTATCAGCAGTTGTAAAGGATAGTCACAACAGCCATAGACGACAATAGCCCACGCCAAGCAGACTAAATGACGTACCTGTACCTTTACCTTCCTTTCCCTACCAGCTCTTCCATCAAGCTCCTGTCACGACCGACCGCCACCTACTTCATCCACGTTCCGTTGTCCTGTACTCAGTCTTCCTGTTGCCACTGTATACTTGATGACGGCACGGACAACTCTTAGGTTGGGTGTCTATTCACCATGGGTCCATCGAGTCGTGAACCATCGCCGCGGCGGCTCAGCGATCTCCCTACGAGTATATGAGACATATTTCCGCACCGCTCTTTGGCTTCTTCTATCGTTTCCGACCGCAGGTCTTGGCAATACGACAATGAGGAGGAAGTGACGACCCTCTCCAGCCTTTTACCACGTTCACCTGCTAGGCTTTCCTCGATACCCAATTTCGCCAGGGAGCCTCATAGCCACGAGTGTCCTGTGCGAAGTCGTGCTAGAACCTGGCCTTCTCGGCCGGTGAGAGTGTCATAAAACCTTCGGACATGTTTGCCGGGCAGGCCTGTGTCGAGCTGACGGAGGTGTTTACCGGTCTTCCAAGGCTGGTCGAGTCGACTTTTCAACCTCGTTTCCGCCTCATGGCCTCGTCACGATCAAATGAACGTGGTATGACGCAGCGGCGAGGGTCACGTATAAGACAATCTCTTCTCAAACTGGCCAGTCTTTGAGTAGTTCCGGTGAGGACTTGTGCGCTTTGGAGTTCGGAAACGGCGGCAGGGGAAGGTTGAGGAGTTTTTCTCGTCGAGGCTTTCACTGAATGGCATGTCAATAGATGTCCACTCAAGGACGATTCGAATGGCCTTACGAGGTAGAAAGAAGTACTCAAATAGTGTCTCTGCAAAACCCGATCAATCGCGGTCCATAGTCGAGGGCCGGGATCGAATTCCCCTCCGGGGCCTCGGTCGGATTCTGTGTGTGCTGGACGAAAAACTGGAGACAGCTGCCTCTTGACACCTCTGAACGCGCATATGGGTAGGTAAGTCGGACGAGGGTGACCTGCTTGTACGGCTCGTGATTTTGCCGAGGTTCGCACGCTTCGATGACCGCGATAAATACACGAGTGGCCCGCTGTCGTTGCTCGGGACTCAGCGTTGAATGTGGTGCATACAGACGTTCGATGCCGACGATGGGGTGAAGAGGTCGGCATATCAAGAAGCAAGTCGGAGCGTGAACTTCACGCCCTTGGCCCACGTGATTGCCCAGCCCATAGAGCCGATGGCGACAAGGCGCGGGAGAGTCCTCTTGCCCCGGTCATGAATCCCTAGGCAGACTTGTATGAGATCTTTCGGTTTGCAAGGGTTTCGACGTCAACACACGTATTGTGCTGTTTATGTGCACCTGTCCGATCGCTGATTGACTGAACTGGAGCGCGCGGGATGTGTCCTATCGGGCATCTACAGAAGATCGCTGGTGGCATCAATGATGGAGAATTATTACAGATTTGCGCATTCGCGGGGGACACCTTAGCCGCTTCCGAACATGTGACATATCGAAGCGACCCTCAGCAGCCCCGCGTCATTGGGCTAAAGCACCTTGGCAAGGTAAATTAGGTGTTCGTGTCGTCTTGGCGGAAGTTTAAAAGGGAGTCACCAACCTGCACCTCGGGCGGTCTATCAACTGATTTCTTGTCGAAGTGCGGGCTGCAGTTCCGATCGCGAATACTCTATACCATGCCTTGCACCGCTCGTGGGGCCACTCAGAAGCACCCTTACACGACATCGATTGCGACTGCTCAAAGCGATCCAACTGGCACGAGAAAGAGAAGGCGACATTGGCCCACACCACCAACCAGCATTCGCCACAACGAGGTCGAGGTAGGCCCTGCTGCTCCGTTTTGTGTCGTCGCGTTGCTCATGGGAGTCCCCTTAGGTTCCTCGACAAGTTACAGCCAGTCCAGATCATCCTTCTCGGCAAACCTCCCCCGGTACGACGCATTCGTGCACCAAGAGAAAAAAGAGGAGATTTGAGAAATCCTCGCCTGACTTGGTGGATCCTGCCGACGAAATACCTTGGAGTACACAGAACGAGGATTCGACGCTGCCGGCGGAAGGGGGGCTGGAGCAGTCCATCGCAAGCTGGGCGCGCACGGGAGAGTGGCCATCTAACTTTGCAACGATGAACCAAGAACGAAGCATTTCTCCTCAGAAAAGGTCTCGCACCACGAGCTATACCCAGAGCGTGAAAGATGGCGACGCTCCCAGAGCGTATTCCCCTGCATTTGAGACGGTCATTGCCGAACATGGACTCCACATGGAGGTACTGAAAGGCCGCCGTTTGGTGAGCGAGGGAAGCAAGACATTATGCCAACAGTTGTTACAAGCCCAGCACGAACGACCTGCGTACAGTTCGTATCCATTGGCGGAGTTTCTATCCGTCCAAGACCGGGTTCGAACCCGGAACGAAAGCAAAATCTTTCGAGATCTGACGCCATTGCTTGTACCCTCCCCCGAACTCCTTTTCGTTTCCGGTCACCAGGCATTGGAGCACGTGAGAGATGAAATCTCGGTGGAATGGAGCAAAGGCAAGACCATGGGGGGCCCGAGACCGAAGCCAGACTGCGCGATTGGCATGGCCTCCTCAGCGTTTACCGACGAAGAAAGCGCCAAGCTGAAGAACTACGCTTCATATGAACGTCCGACCCTGTTCACAGACCACCTTTATTTTCCGTTTCTGCTTTGTGAAACCAAGTGTGGCAATGAAGGACTTGACCGCGCGGACCGACAGAACATGCACAGCGGCAGCATTGCAGTGGATGCCATTGTGCAACTCTACCGCGCCATAGGGTCAGGTCGTGAGAGTGCTTTGAATGGAGAGATCATTGTGTTCTCAATCTCTCACAACCATGAAAGTGTCAAGCTCTATGGCCACTTCCCTATCATACAGGGCGCCGAAGTGTCTTTTTATCGGTACCACGCCACAACTTTTATCCTCGGGCTGGAGGAAGAGGATTGGAGAAGACCGCATGACTGTGTTCGAGAAATTTACAAGGTTTTCTACCCCGCCCACCTACAACGCATACGACATGCCCTCTCCGAGATGGGAGATCCTCGCCTGGACTCAACGTCCGAGATTACCGATGCAGAGGAAATTGATTCTCAAATTGCGGAGGAGAGTACGGCTTCATCCCAAGACGCCATGGCCTTCAAAATCCCCAATGCGCCAGCCAGCAAAAAGGTCAAGGGCGGGCTGGCCACTGTAGGGGCCCAATTCGCGAGGCTAGACCAGCACTACAAAGAACAGTTGGCCAAGCAGGAGCAGCACTACAAAGA